CAGTTTTATACCAAACTTATTGAGATAAGTTCATGAAATAGTAGTTCAATAAAATTTTGAATGCAAATCAACAAATGATATGATATGACCTTTCACCTATAACCTGTATCAAAAGGATTAATGGATGTGTGTACAGAAATAATAGACAACTGTACTCTCTTCTCTAAAGAGAGGAAGATCTGCACTAAACAAGTCTGATCCAAAAAAAAACGTTAGAGAATCAAACACTATATGCTTATCTAGACAAAGTCAAATCTCCCTTACTGAATTAGTTACCCAAATCACTTGGTCACTCTCATTAATAAAAATAAAGAAGACATAGATTTAGGTATTTCTAAACTTTTAGTTGGCTAAAGTGACTAGAAAATTTACTAGTGTAACCTCAGAGGAACTCTCCAGCCACACAATACGTGGGAAGGCCCAAATATACCATATTATGAAGTTTTTACAATCAGTGGAACTTTTTATTTTAATTTTTGAGGGGTATATTTTTATGGCTGCAGAAAATGCTTTTATTATTTATGAATTTATGTTCTTTGAAACTTTTTAAGATGCATAGACTTATATGAGGTCTAAACATGGAAACCTGTGGATCACAGAAGAGTCCCATGTCTGATGTATCTGTGCATTTTATTTTTTTAAATTTATGTTGCAGTTAGCTATCATTCTGTTCAGTTATATTTAGTTTTGTATAATTTTCAGTTTATTTTTCTTTTTAGAATTTCTAGGGTTTATTAGTGGACCTGCCATGCATAATAAAATATTCTAGAAAAAATGTTGATGATATTGTTTGTTAAAAGCAGGCATCTATGCTAAATCGACTACACCTAGAATGATGAAAAAAGTAGTGGGAGGAATGCACTGTCAATTTTGACCTTAAAGGTCATTTTCAAGGTTACAAAGGTCAAGTGGAGTCAGAATGATTATATTCTGAATTCACATAGATGTATATACTTTGCACCATCATTAACTTAAATGATGATTTAAACATGTACTAAGTTTCTTATCAACAATAGATTAAGAAGCACCTAGATGTGGGATGGGGCTAGACTACATGCATCCATCTTTGACATTAGTTCTGTTGCATATTAAATTTTGTTCTCTAATGAATCACTATAAAATACAATGTACAAAAACTATATTTTGGAGGCAATTTTGATTTATGTCTAACACTGTAGAAAAGGGATGTCTAAAAAATGCTAGAAGTTTTGAAATAACCAGAAACTTTGTTAACTTACCAAATTGATGTCATTATATAGTTCAAGACCAAGTACACCTGAGAAGATAAATGTCATGTTCCATTCATCGTCACTACTAAAAATAAAATAAAAAAAATATTTATCTTTTCTATGATAATAAGAAAGTTCAGAAACAATTATTGACTAATTTATTTTTCTAAATTAATGATATATATCCCAAACACTGCGAAAAAGCACAGAGGAATTTGATAGATATATGTCTACTACAGTATTTGGTATCCATAAAATGTTTTTTTTTCGTTAATTGCCATTTCACCAGATATCTGAAAGCTGGATAGTTTTATTTTTTTAGGTTTATGATTTCTCAATACAAAAGTAAGAAAAAGGTCTATATTTTAAGGTTTATAAAGGATGTAGTTTGAGGCAATAAATAATAGATTTTGTTTCATTTGTATTTAATGTTTTCTTCATTCCACTTTTACAATTTCCTCACCAACACACTTGGTCACATAAAAATAGAGTATAAATTAAAATATATAAATACCTGTATATAAATTATTTAACTATTAAGTACTGTTAATGCAAAAGATAACAATATAAACATAATATTTGATATATTTTCCTTACAATTTTCAGACTTCCCAGCCATAAAAAAAAATTAGGGGAGAATATAGGGCAATTTTAAAATTTTTAGAGAGGATTTAAAGTCTCCCACTGGGACAGTGGTATGTTTACAGACTTACTATGCTTAAATCTGGGGTTTGATTTCTCAGAGTGGACAGAGTACAGATAGCTTATTGTGTGGCTTTGTACTAAAATAATCAAAGGATTTAAAAAGAAAAAAAGAAATTTAGGTCTACTGGATATGTTGAATTTAGCACAGTATATGTAAAGAGACTGAGTCTGTAGTGTGAATTTATTTATACATGGTACATCACATTTCACATTAACTCTTTCAGTATGAGGTTCGATCCCTGGGACCAACCTTGTAACCATTTTGTGCTTGTTATAGTTTTCATGCTATAACTTTTAAATTTGGGAGATTACCAGTAAACATTACAATGCTTACATACGCAAAATATAATTTTTTTTCATTAATTCTTAAGGTTTGTAAAGCAATGTTTTTCTCATGCCTTTTTTCTTTTTCATGTTGCCTATCCAACATTCAAAGCAATTTTCATTTTAAGATTAAATTTACTTTTACACATCAGAAAAATTTGAAATTTCACATGCAAAATCTTTATAATGTCCAGATAGTTATCAAATGTTTCTTAAGGAAAAAACTTTATATTTTATCTGTTATTTTCAGTCATGAATCTCTGTATGGGTTCCGTAGATTTGAACGATCTCGTAACCACCATAAAAAATTAGGAAATAAATATAAATTATGCCTCTTGTGTTCTAGAATGATTACAAATTATAACACGAAAACATAAATGTTTAGACTAAATAGCTTAAATCTCATAAGGTTATACATTTATATATATTTACTATTTTTATTATATTGACCTTTCAGCCATACCTGGCTAACAATACAGAAGTCACAACAACGCAGCACATGTGCACTCATGTTACCATATCCAATAATATAAAACTGACCTTTAGTCTTTAAAAAGTGACCTGTCTGGGCTGTGTTTCAGTAGACGAGTATTTTGTAAAATACAGTCACATTTCAATTATTATACATTATATATTGTTACGTCTGTGTTCGTTTGTTAATTTTTCGTATAATTTCTTTCGGACGAAACTTTAGCGACACAAGTCCTGTCTTAAATAAAACTAGTTTATTCTTTCTCAATTAAACTTTGCAATACACTTAATTTCCACAGTCACTTTAACTTAAACACACGCTATAATTCACAACGATTCATGCACTTTAGTACCACGCTTGACTCAACTGTCCATCTCTGTCTGTCTGCAATTATCTATCTATATATATCTGCCATCACTTCTTGCCGGTCTTATATATATGAAATAGAGGGCATGTGGAGAACACTTGAGGCTTCACAAACAGACATGAACTTTCTAGAATCTTATGACGTGTTACTAGCTTCACGTGACTTCCGCTGTTGTAACAATACTAAACTGTAAAAAAGTTTTAACTTTATCTTTATGATGTTTAGCACATTTAAACATAAGTTTGGTTTAACTTTATTTGAAGTCTTGAAAAGTGTGAATTATATTTTATATAGTATTATTACAACTGAGAGTCTTTGAATTATTTGAAAAATGTATATCAACCCTTCCATTATGGGTTGGGTGAAATCCATTCAGCTTGTAACCATGAAAGTATCCATGAGAGTAATTATACTTAAATTTTGATAATGTATGCATATATTTACAAAATTTTGCAGTTTATTGGTAAACAGTAAAAGGTTTTTGTACATAAAATGTAAGGTTTTTAAAGTAAGTATTAAGATTTTTTAAATAAAGATTCACTTATAAACCTTTTTTTTTTCAGAATGTTGACTATCCAACATGCAGAGCAATTTTAATTTTAAAATTAAAAATACTTTAATGCATTAGAAAATTTTCAAATTTCACATGCAAAATCTTTATAATCTCTAGATTATTATTATTTTTTTTTGTAGAAAAAACATTATATTTTATTTATTATTTTTGCTACTGTATTTGTGTAAGGTTTGGTTTGATTTGACCGATTTCTTAACTTCAATAGAAAATTATGAAAAAAATATATAAATTATGCTTTTTTCGTTCTAGAATGACTACAAATTATAACATGAAATACAAGCTTTTATATATATTTATTATTTTTATTATATTGACTTTTCAGCTGTGCCTGGCTAACAATACAGAAGTTACAATGAATCGACGCACATGCTCTTGTGTCACCATATCAAATAATATATAACTGACCTGTCTTGGCTGTGTTTTAGTGGGCCAATATTTTGTAAAATACAGCCATATTTCAATTATTATCTCTGTACAAGTTTGGTAGATTTGACCAATCTTGCAACAAGCATAAAAAATTAGGAAATAAATATAAATTATGACTCTTTCATTCTAGAATGAACACAGATTATAACGTGAAAACATAAATGTTTAGACAAAATAGCTTAAATTTCATAACATTATACATTTATATATATTTATTATTTTTATTATATTGACCTTTCAGCCGTGCCTGGCTAACAATATAGAAGTTAGAATGATGCGGCTCACATGCACATAAAACGGACCTTTAGTCTACAGTCAAATTTCAATTATTATACATAATATATGTATATAGATTATTGCTATTTAGAAATAAGTTCTTAAATTAATTTTTCTTAAAACATAGAACAGTAACCAAAGAAGTAAAGCAAACAATTATCTCTTCTAGTTACGACCTTTGTTCTCATTTGCCGCTTGTCGTAGGTTGCTAAGCCTTATCAAATTTTCCATGCGGGGGATGTGAAAAGAAATTTTTTTTAAGGTTTTATATATACATTTTAAACAACCAAAAAATTCATGAATTACTATTTCAATACAATAGAATTCTACCATAATTTATCAAGCTTAGTAACTAAGCTGTATCTGGGTCTAAAAAAATATGAAAGTTCGAGCTCACTTACCTCATCATTTGAAATCTTGTGTGAAAAGAACAAAATTAGCCCAATAATATGTCAAAATGACTGAGAAAACCTCTAGAGGGATATTCTGAAGTTTGGATTGGTTATTCATGTCACACATAGAAGTAAGTGTACATAATGGACCATTTTCAAAAATGGAAAGGGGTGGGCAGGGGCCACTGTGTTTGATTCAGTATAGGAGCGATATGTTAGCAAACAGAAAAGATAAAAGGTTCTTATTTTAAATTCTAGCTTCTAAATATCAGTAGTTTGAGTTCCTAGTTCATATAAAACTGTAGGTTTTGTAGTTTGACATCACAAACATCTAATTTGAACCAGTGCTGCATTCAACATACCATGTGACATACAAACATCGATGTTTAGCTGTTTTTTTAATATTTACTTTTAAATGAAGAAATTAATTAACATATAATACTAAAATTTGATTGATAATCTACAATTATACTTAGTAGTATAAATAGTAGTTCAATAAAATTTCGAATGCAATTCAACAAACACAATGACATGGCCTTTGACACGTGACCATTGCGATAGGGTTAACTGAAGTTTCTTTAATAAAGTAAATATCCATCAAGAAGACTGATAAAGCATGCCACACACTACTAGTCTCTCCTACAATACAAAAAATAAATAAATTTTATCAAATGCTCTATAATATCTGACTTACCATTTTTCTGTTGTTAGTTTATCCCAAATACATTGCATTTTCTGAAAACAACAGGAGAAACTATTTACTATGTGTGCATTTGATAAATCATAAAATTGTTAACAGTTTTAGAAACAAACTTTGAATATAAAATGCCATAATGAAGTTCTTTTTTAAAAACAGGATCACCATGGTAAAGCAAAACAATATGTTAAATTTTCAGGTGTTTCAAAATTTATACATTCCATCATCAGTGATCTAAAGTAATCACTAAAGTAAAGTAATCTACATAAGTAATATATACACATAAAATAACATTCATTACCAATTTTAACAGGGATAAAAAGTATACAAAATATAAAGAGGAGAAGAAATAATTAAAATCTTATAAAGGATAAAAAAAACAATTTAATAAAATGTAATATTCAAAACAAAGAGAACTGACAGCAACTGAGGTTATTATTTAGGCTTGGATGTTCATTTGAGACACATAGACTTTCTTTGACCAGAAGATTGTAGTCTGATGATCCTAATGTTAGAATTTTGAAGCTATCAGTAGATAAAAGGTGTTTTCTAATTTCACAGTACATTCCCCATTCACACAAACTTAACCCTCTGTAATTATATTAAAAAAATAATAATAACTTGTTGATTAGTACTAGTGTGTCCATTCAAAGCAATTAAGTAACAAAAAAAATGTAAGATCCATGCTGAATTGCATTTAAAATGTGATAGTGTAAATGAAATTAAATAAAACATCAAAAAAAAATTCTTTCACATGAGCCACCTTCCCCAAATAAGAAGAAACTTCTTGAGCATAAAATAAAGAGAGAACATAACCTAACCAACCTGACCACAAAACCTGAGATAAATGAATAAGTTGGTCAGAATAGCACGAAGCCATGGAGGCTTCACAAGCCAACCTAAATAGGCAGCTTATGATAAACAGCCATTTGAGTAATGTGAACAGATTCTTCCTGAGACAGGGCCAAACACCTCTGCAATCCTTTTCTGAGAAAGACTCAGAACCATTTTTATCTCAGTGAAATCTTGAACAAAGTCTTTGAGAAGAAAAAAGGTAGTCAGAACCCAAGAGAGAGAGAGAGAGAGCAGAAAGATATTGGAATATGAGAGACAGTCTAGTCAAAGACAGACTGAAAATCCCAGCATCTTACTAAACAAAAAAGAAGAGGAAAGATCCTAGGTGCATGAAGAACTCAGAACATTCCCCACCTATTTGGAAGGGGGAGAGACAGGAAGAGGTCACATGTGTGTATGGAGCCTAAGTGCTCTAACTTAGAAGAAGCAAACCAATGAACAAACTGTAAATCCCAAATAAAAGTAAAACCAGAATGCATAAGAATTCTAAAAAATCAGACACCAGAAGGGCATCTAGTAAACAAAGAAAGCTGTCAAAGCTCATGCAGAAGCCTGCTAGCATGATGAAGTAGCTCATGTCCCTATTTGAAAAGGGACACTCACTAAACAGTATCCCTCAAAATAGAAGCAACTAGCAATTTGTGCAAATACAACAAAACATGCTGGCCTAGTAGATCCCAAGCATACAAAAACCTGGTTACACAGTAGTAAGGTTACAGATAAATGCAACAATGCAAGTCTATTCTCAGAAAAGGTCTTAGGCTATTAATAAAGGACTTTGAATTTTAACTGGGCTTTAGACTAAGAACCCAGACTAAAAAGGCATTAAATATCGACAAAGTGTGTCCAGAAAGTGAAAGACAACAACAATTTTTTAATTCAATTTAAGTCTCAAAAGCTTGAAAGGCAAAATAATCATAGGAAGGGAGCCCAGTATAAGCTTTCTACTATGAGAAAATTGAGAGAGGTTGAACCCCAGAAGATAAATTAGTTAGAAAATCATCTTTCAAAGTACAAAAAATAAGGCTCAAGGTGTAAAGGAGAACAAACTTCAACTCACCAGATCAGCTGGGGGAAAGAAAGGAATGTTCTTAGTAGCACCCAAAGAAAGTTCAAAGGGTTTCTTGCTAAATATGAAGCAAAATTAAGGGAAAGAGCACCATTATCTTCAAACTCAACAAGAACACTGGAGAAATGACAACAAGAATGCTTACTGAAAGAGAAGGTGCTGCAGATACAAATTCTAAAGTATCATTGGAAGAATACAGAAAGGAAAATGAATAATCAAATATTAATTCAAAACAAAACTTAAAAAGAAGATTCAAAACAGCCACTAATAAACAACACACACTTAAGACTGCAAGACCACACAGAAATGCTTTCAAAAATGGAACAATGATCTTGGGTAGCAAGTATTTGCTGGTTATATCCTGAGCAAGTACTCATGAGAAGAACTAGACTATTGGATGAAGGAAGACTTCATTATTAAAGATATTAAATCACACTATGTAAAATGGGTGTTAAGTTTTGTTGTTGAATTTTGTTATACTTATACATGCCACTCAGTATATTAGAATAACATTTGAGTTTACCAATTTTTCTTCTGGAATTTTGGTTAGGCTGTAATCAGTTTAGCTGTGGTAGCAATACTATAAAATGTTTTAGAAAGAACAATGGAAACAATACCTGAATAGGAAGAATACTCCAACTGGTTTGAAGACATGTCATGACATTGAAAGCCTATGCAAAAAGAATTTGATCAGTAAACTTAAAGATATACATTTTTAGGATATGTTATATTCCCTTTATTGTTGTTTTTAAGAAACACCATTTTTTTTCTTAATTACTTATGTTCTTTATCGACCATTTCTTGATTTTCAAAACCTCTTATATTCTATTCTTTGTCATTAAGTATTACTTATGTTATAAATGCCACTTACATTAACCCGATGACCACAGGCTACTAACTTTCTGAGTAGCCAACACAAGTCTTGCTATATTTCATTCCAACAATAAAACTAGTGAGTGAAATTGTTTGAGACTTCATAAGAACTTTCATAAATGCATGTAGTTTAAGAAACATAAAGTCTGTTACTTTTCATAAATTTAGTTTTTTTCATTATGATCTTTAATATCTTGGGAAATTACATTAGGAAATGGTATTTATAAGAAATGATTACGATATTTATATTTGTTCCAGATTTGAACTTATTACTTTTTATGTTTTAGTACATTATGTTAAAATCAATAAAAACTTATCATCCATAAAATGCAAATTTTATTTATTTTAAATTTTTTAATAATCACGAACTCTCTTTATGGTTTCAAGTAATATACAAGACCTGAAAATAATATTTGTAAGTAAACCTAAACAATAAACAAGTATTTTTTATTCTTAAATAGGATTTCATGTTTATATATGTACATAAAAACATTTAACTTTTGTTTCATAAATCTAATTTTATTTCAAATTTATGTTTATGTTTCATTGCAGCTGTACTTTCATTTTTTGTGCCAAATATATCATGAGGTTAGCAGCGTGAATTTTGTACATCTGCCGTAAACTATCATGCCTGTTGGTGGTCACTCTTGTTCAGTCCAGCACAGGTGCATTTGAACATTACTGTAGATATGATAGTAAGAAAGCTTTTCGGTACTTGAATATTATTTCTTTGAACTTTCAAACAAGTTTATTTCAACATATGTCCATGTATGTTGTTTCACTACACAGACAAAACTAATTGCCACTACTAGTGAGTGGTAATAGCTTATAGTACAGGTGGTTTGAATAACACTGCCTGACCCTAGTTACATGATACATCCTGTTACACAAATTACCAAACAATACAGACACCATAAATTACAAAGAAAATAACTTCATAGTACTTAAAAGATTAGTCTGGTCACATTCCTCTCATTATAGGCACGATTTATGTTGGAATTCGAAACTTAAGCCCTTCAGTGTATTGACATCCCAACTGTGAGAATGTCACAGCTTCACCTGTATTATTCAGACAAATGTGTTTAGTCTGTTTCACAACCAACATATGGGCTTTATTGTTGTCAACTTGTACACTGAGTTTAACACATATATAAAAGACTCTTACAGGAATAAAAACTTAATTTACCAACAGAACCCACACATCAATGCATCCTCTATCCTGGTACTGTATATAAGCACCTCATTCAGATAATCTTATAATTTTTTCGAGACTGACTCAATCTCAGTATCTAACACTGGCTTTTAGTGGGGAGGAAGGGTGGGAGAGTGTCAATGGAGGTAAGTATTATTGGAAATACATTTTTGACTTAAGAAAATGATAAATTCCAAAATGTACTTACCTCCATTCACATTTATAGCTAGAATCCCACATTCATAAAGTGGGGGGGACAGTGAGGGCATTATCCATACAGAAAGCATCTGCATAGATCATGGGTGTGTCAATAGAAGATTGGCACCCTAGTGGGGGAACCACATTATATCCAGAGCAGGCATGCTCTTCACCCTGAATGTAATTCCTCTATTGTGGATGGAATTGTACATGAGTGATCATCACTATAGGCCAGCCCCAACCAGATAGCCGAGGTTCCACTACTCGGGGTTGGAATTATGGGTCTTGGTCTCTATATCCCACATTGGTGGCTAGGGCAACAATTGGACCACGTCATTATATATATAGAAATACTTATGAATGGATCCCAACCTGCAGCCATAAAGTGATGCATTCTAAGCCACCAGAATCCTGACAAGAAAGTAAGCAACATTGGAGTGGACAAACCTTCTCCACTTGAAGAAGCCTGAAAGGCAACAGAATGACGGGATCGTGTATGTTGAACTCAACCAAAGAAAACAGAGCTCATCCGGTCTGGAATTATGAACATTCATCCTCACTCCCCAACTGTGTAGGCAAGGTACATTCCACTTGCTCCCAGAATTATGGGGAGGACATGGAACAAGACGCTCACTGAGCATGACAATGATCAAAATCTGATCAATCATAGAAGTGAGAAATAGCGATCAGATGAATCGGTGAAAAGGATTAATCCCCTTCCCTGTCTGAGTGTCTTGGGTAAGAAGAACTGGTCTGTGGAGAAACAGTGCAAACTGCTCCTACCGGCTATGTTTGAAGGTTAGCAGCAATGAAAAACACACCTTCAGGTAGAGGTAATACATGGCATATGAGAATTAGGACACAAATAGATGTAGAGAAAGGGCATGTATTGTAATCTTAATATATCAGATCGGTAACTGGAATGTTTGTTTGGGACAAAGGACCCCAATAAACCTGAGGAAACCAGAGAGTACTAGAATATTTAGTTGCTAGTATCGAAAGGTAGTCGATAAGGCCACTTATACAGGGCAAACATGAAAGGTGCAAAAGTCAAAGAGCCAGGTCAAAAAATGAGTTATGGTTGGCACTTCTGATCGAAGTGGATTCAACCTTCTCTCAGTACAGTATTGCTGATATATGTGTGCCATTTCTGTTGAAAAATGTCCTTTGCAGGACAAAACACACACACAAAAAAAGAGACAAATATATGCCAACCTTTATTTTAAACCCTGATGCTGTGCAAAAGACTGCATAACCTGTATGCCTGAAGCTGGAGCTTCTGGATAGCCAGGTGAACCCTGTCAAATCATACCCGCCTCCACAGATATGGCTTAAGAAGAAGTGGACAGACTTGAAGGAACTGCAGAAACTAGGGTGTAGCCAACAATCAGGTGCTATCAACAGGTCCCAACAATGGGTTGGAAAAAAACACAGTTAGTACCTTGGGTAACAGATGCATTGCAGGGAAGGCCTAAAATAGTAATCCTGTTCCATCCTCATGGAATGCATCCATTGCCAAAGCCCAAAGGTGAGATATTGGAGAACAAATTGCCAGTAGTTGGGTGTTTCAATGAGAGCTAAACCAACAGAACCTTGTGATGTAGCATCTATTTTGTTGAGATAATCTGTTTGGGTTGAGAAAATCAATATGCTACTGCAGTCATCACCTGTGGAACTAGGCAAGCTAGTAGAATGATAAGATAGAAGAGGAAATCTGAGAAAGAAGGTCCAAGATTTGAAAACAAGGAGCCATGGACCAAGTGCCTCTCAATGAGAAACACAAGACACCATCATGTAATTGTTAGATTGAAGGCTGATAATTTTCCTCATAATAAGCCCAGACCATGAGGCCTTGCCTTTCGAAGAAAAAAAGAGGATTAAAACAATAATTAGGGAAGCCTTGTCTTCCCTGTGTAGATCCTCAAATTCTTGACTGTTAGTACATGCACCCCAATCCCTGAAACGAGGATTTCATGAAAAGATGGAGCTTTGGATGAGGGGTTGATATAGGAACCCATATCTTAGTAGCATACCAACTTAACAACACTTCAATATAGAAGAATGATCTTGACTAAGGAAAATGGGGAAGTCAGTGAATTGATGTTTATGATCCCTTGGTTGCATAAAGACCATGAAAAGTATCACTTGTGCACTAATCCAAAGGCATAAGGGATTTTAGTGAGCTCACATTCCCAAAATAAAAATACCATCAGTGCACTGGGAGAAGGACAGTTGAGTAAGAGTCTGGTTTCCTGTTCCATAGCACAGAGCCGGATGTGAGTTAGTTGAGCCTGACTGAGAGACAAGATGAAAAAAATATATCCAGACTGATGACATACTGAAGTGGAGCAAGAATAGATGTTTCAACTCTGAGAATGAAGCCTGCCTTTATGGTTTATGAAAGCAGAATCCAGGTGTGCTGTTCTGACAATTGATGAGCCAACCTTTTTCGAATAAGGCATAACTGTCCGTACACTGAACTAATATATCCTCCCCTTCCTGCATGAACCACAATTAAGGTGCAGCTTCAAAAGCAACTGGGGAAAGATCCAAAACAACACACACTCAATGAATCACCTGAAGAAAGTGAATCAAAGGCAGGTTATCCCAAAGTGACCCCCGTTTCATGTTGTATTTCATTTAAAGACTGAATTGATTAATGTTGATTGGAATAACATTTAGTCAGGTAAGTTTGGTTTGTGAGAGCAAAGCAATATTGGGCTATCTGCTGTGTCCACTATAGGGAATTGAACCCCAAATTCTAGTGATGCAAGCCCGCAAACTCACAATTGTCTCATAGGGGGACTGAAAAGTCAAAAGACAAAAATAAGGCACAGGAAAAAGTGAATCTAAACTCTCTTCAGTATGTCAAGGAGCACCCTCAATTGCAGCCTTAGAGCCACCTAAAGAAACACTACAGAGCTGAATATATATCTCCATCTCACTACAAACAAGATCTCTGACAGTCTCAATCGAAAGTTACTAAAATTGTTGTGTGACACTAGATCTCAGAGGTGGGATAGGAGAGACGTGATTTTCTTCTGTGCTAGAAATAATAATCCGAGAATTCATATTGCAAAACGGCTGGCCAATTAAAATAAAAAAATATTATTATTATTTTTTAATTTACAAAAAGCAACTAGGTGGCACTAAGAATGCTCAAAGTATCTTCAACAATTGTAGTGAGAAGAAACCCTTTAGTAAACACTTTGTCAAGAAAAAGTGATAACATTATCTGAATGACGTGCTTATATACAGAACTAGGGTAGAGGGTGTACTGAAGTAGGTGGAGTGTCATGAGACAGATATCACCATGGGCAATTAAGTAGGAATAAAAGACTGGAGCAAGGGAGAAAAAAATCAGATCAATGCTTAGATGAGCAAATGAAGAAACCCTGACAGTCGAGTAATAGCTACAAATGTGAGAGGAGGTAAGTATTATTAGAAATACATTTTCAATTTAAGAAAATGATAATGTAAACCATACACTGGCAGTTCTCTGAACATTACAGAACACATTAAATGAACAAAAAGCACAGAATCACATTATACAGTGAAATATGTTTTGGAAAATTTATATTTAGGCTACAGTAGATTCTAACTAATGATTCACATGGTTTTAACATTCCTTTTTCATGCATTATGTTTTGTACTTTTAAATTAATTTTTGAAAAGTGCCATTATTTTCAAAACTTTTTTATGTTGTACCATTTGTTAAGTGTACTAACTGTGAAATTTGTAATACATTATTTTCTTTAATTCTTAATTCATTTAGATTTTTTTTAATTATCTAGAGTGTCAAATGTTTAGTGCATGTGCACTATTATTTATTCCAATGTTCATTAGATGTTCTGTGTAGCTTATGTTTGTTTTTATAAATGTTGTTTGATAAGTATTAGATTCTTCTGTAAACAAATTTTTATATTAATTTCACTGACAATATTACCAATCCTGTACAGCAATACTAAATAATGCTCCCATAGCCTAACTTGTACATTGCAAATTTTTTGGATTTTCAGGACAAACTTATTTTTAAATTGACAACTGTACAAAATGGTGAATATTTTCTGTTTTTATTTTCATGTTATTATAAAAAATTTTACATTTTAAATTCTGTATTGTTATTCAATATTTGAAGTTCCATAACATGAAAATATTTCTTTCATTCACCATCATTTCCATGTTTTTCCAGGTTTGCAGAAACCTTATTCACCAATGTATTGGTGCTATATGTTATATTTAAAATGTACATTTAGTATGGTACATATAAAGTAGTGTTGTTCATTAAATTGCTGTTATGTACAACTCTGCTATTTCATTAAATCACAATAGACAAATAATAAAAATGGTTTGAGTATTAAATTTTAAAGCTATTTTAACTTAAAGAGAAATTAAGACAAATGAAAAGTTGTGGTATTATTATATACTAACTACTTCTATAGTTATTAGATTAATATACAAACCAGACAAGACTGTCTACGTTATAGTAAAGTGACAAACAAAGATTCATAAGCATAACAAAAATTATATAATATTATATTATATAGAGAACATACTATTAATTTCAACATAACATTGGCCTGGTTTATCTTCTTGGTTAACCTATACAATGGATTGAATATATAATTTTTTTCTATCTTTGTCCAGAACTTACTGTTCTGTACAATGAAATTTAGTTCATATTCAATATGAGTTAGTTAACCCTTCAAAAATGTGAGTCTAATGAAGGGTAAAATTATAAATACTTAACTGTGTTCATTAAACTTGTCTATCTCTTCTATTGGTCACTTATTCTTACACAACCTTACAAGTTATCAAATCCTAAAACCTCCAGTTATGTATAACTGATTTATCTTTGTGCCCAATACTTCCAAACATGGAAAACCATAGGAGTAAACAAATAATGTACTCACCTATAAAGTAGTTTAGCTTAATAAATTATCAAATGTGTTTTATCAACTTCCTTATGAATTATAACTTGACACAGATATTATAAGCCCTTACCTCAGTCACACAACATGAATAATTCTTTGGTTCAAATGCCTCCTGTACTAACTTCTTTCCTATTTCCTTTGATTCCTTTATAAATTGCACTAAGTATGTTTTTCTATCCGTCTCATTACAAAACCCCCAATCTTCAGTCCTGCAAGACTCCAAGCCAACATCAAAGGAAAATTCGAGTAAACTGACACTGTTATTTGTAAGTAGCTGCTTCAAAAAATGTAGCACAGTTAGTTTTACTTCATAGACAGAGCAGTTCAAAGCATCTAATATAAAATGTGTAAAGAGTACCCTTGGCTGTTCATGATGAACAAAAATGATCAATCCCAATCGAATAAGAGAAACACAGTACATTTCTTTTCCTGGTAGGAAGGACATATTGGAGCAGAGGTCTTTCATCTCTTCAAACACATAAGAGGTTACACCATCAACTAAAGAAGATTAAAAAATTAGAAGACTCAGCAGATAATATTTTATCACATATGAAATAACATAAAAAAAGCATAATAGAATTCTCTTAGAAAAGTTCTACAATTAACAAAAATGTGAAGAAGCATTTTACAGGTTTGTGATTTGTAGTAATATTATCATATATAGAAAATAAACTGGCCAAAATAAGTATTAACAATTTCCTACTTATTAACTAGAATATAAGTATTTCATTTTAATGGTTCTTTCATTAATCATCATGAACAAGGCTCTAGCATTGTACATCAAACTGGAACAGTCTTCAATTTCCATTTCAGCACTTATAATTAATCTAAGACAAACTGTTTGAAAGCTTAACTACTGATTAAACATATTACTAAACAAGAGCTGAGAGTAAAATTTAATCAAATAATCTAAAAATCATCAACTGGTTTATCATCCTTTAAACCAGTTGTGCACAAACTTTTTTAATTGTGCCTCCTCTTTCTAAATGCATGTTTTGTTGGAATCCCCTCCCCATGTTAATTGTTGTTACTATATTAATTAACAGTAGTAATATTTGTATGTTAGTATTTCAACTTCTTTATTTTGAAACTTGTACTTTCAGATATAATTTATATGCTCTTATAGCTACAGTTGTGTGCCCCCCCATAATGACCCTTTGCAGTAACTTGGGGGAGGGTGTGCAACCCACAGTCTGTGCACGATAGCTTTAAAGGGTGATGTTTATTAATTATGAATGATTAATTAAAGCTATAACAGGTAGGATAATGGTTGACTGGAAAATTTTATACACATTTCATACCTGAGAGAACAGTGACAACAAATATGAGACACGTTCTACAGTAATCTATTAAAATTAAGAGTGTAATATTGACAAAAAGTATTGCGAAATGAAATATGTGTTTCGTTACACAGAGAATTACATTTATTTCATTCTTGTTCTATGTAATTTTGCTGTTTTATGAAATTACGACAGATACACAATTATTATTGTACTTCAACAGGAATATGTGGCCAGTAAATCTAAAGAAATGTTAATAGCAAATTGCTAAGTAATTTAACATTACATACCTACTGGGAACATAAAAAGGTTTGTTGCTGGACTTAAATATCACAATTAACAGTCTGATTTGGTGCTTTCAAGGGCTTTACTTATTACAGAAAAGAACAACAACTAATTTCTCCACTTTGGCAGTAGATATTATTTTCATTGTTATTTAGTAGTCAACAAGTATTTGAGTCTCAAAAGTTAACCATCTGTATACAACAATACTTGCTGAATGATTTTGTCTGGAGACCTTATACATTTATGGTGGGTGCTTGTGCATAAGTTATTTGTAATGGCAAACTTTTAATCATATAGTATTCTAAGTAAGGAACTAGTATTATATCTTAATTGGCTAGGAAGAAATTAGGAATGTATCTTAAACTGTTTTTTTGCTTTCTGATTGGCTGGAAGGAACAGTATGATCAGAAAGCATGGGGAAAACTATAACTCTGATTTGGCAAACTGCTCTTAGTTTGAATTAGGTTCTTAAAATTGTAAGAGGTATCAAGGCTAAAACTTTTTATGAGCAAATGTTACCTATCTGTCAGTCAGTAAGTAAACACAGAATGTTCCTAATACAGTCATGAGTTTTGTGATTAAATATAAGTGTTCATTGTCTGCTTGTTAAAAAAGTATCAAAACAATAGCAGAACCCAATCATTAATAAAAGTCTGAAATCAAGAGACAACACAAAATATAAAAATAAACTATTAGTTCTGTGTTTGATTCTAATTTAAAATTAATCTTTGAATTTCATCTGATCCTTAGTTCCTCATTAAATAGGTTGATGGTGTTTCTAAAAATGCAAGGAATATTACAGGGGGGGGGGGATATATCTGAATAAGGATTTGTCTATATCCAGAAACATTAACCAGTTGAGAACTGGTCAGTGAAACTGATCTTAATGAACTCGGGACTACTGACATGAGCAAAAGAAACCTTGTGAGGTTCTTGAGCTGAAGCTCGTGGCAATCTGAAGTGCTGTCAAGGTCAGGACTTTAAGGTGATACACAAGGTCATCTAAATATGTAAATCTTTTCACTTTCAACTTACTGTCTAAGAATGATCTAATAAGATTCAAATAGATTGAAGAGTGTAAACAAAGACCAAACACTTACTGCTGCTTCTTAATGGCTTTACAATTGTTGCAGTGAAACATTCCAGGAACAGACCAAGGACTGATATGCCACAGTAGCAAAATACTGATGAAAGCCAAGCTTTATATTGAGTTTAATTAGCTTTTCAATGTGCAGCTGCCAAGTCTCTAGCAACTTTCAATGATGAGACACTCCATCTTTACTGTAAGATATGCTGGGTATGCCTTCCAAAAACAAACTGGTGGGCAAGTGTACTAAGGGACTTTGGGATGATATATGATGATTATCAGAGTTTTGGAAAATACCAGGATGGCAAGAAATTAATGTAGTTTCTCTTCATCCTTTTTTCATTTCCTTTCTCTTTTAAACAAATTTCTATCCATGCAGACAACTGAACTTTCCCTACTTTCATCATTTCTTAAGAACAGCTTTTTTCAAAACCATGTAAAATGGAGTCCATTGAGTTGGTGTTTAAGCAGTGTGTATAATATAAAGAGGTTTTTTAGGTAGGTTTTTTTTTCTTTTTAGTAGTAGTGTGTGTCTATGCTATAAAGTCTGTTTTTTTAACATAGGAATTTTTGGAGTATTGTGTAATATTAAGATGGGTTTATAACATCGTAGTTATATGGCCAAATTTAACAGTATTTGATTTTAAAGTATCTGTAGTTTGTAGTATTCATATTAAGAAAAGCTGAGTAGCTGTATTCTATGATTGATCTAATGTATGATTTAGATTTTTAAGAATTTTCTGATGAGGTTCAATTACATCTGCCAACAAGAAGTCTGAGATACCTCTTTCATATTTTGTTTAGAGCAAGATTTATATGATTAGTTCACTTGAGAATATCAAAAGTGAGCCATAAAAATGTTATTATGTTTTAAGATGTTTATCTGAATGTTATTTACTAGCAATGTTTTTATTTAATTTATTGGATTCATTATTATATTTGTGAGTGAAAACAATGCCTGGAATCATTTTAAGGTTTAGCTTGATGTACCATATGTTTGGAGTGTTAAGTTTGGAGATGGTTGATAAGTTTATAAAGTTTTTGGATGGCTATACCAGAGTGGAAAGAGAGTAAAAGGTAGCAATGACATCAGTAAACTGGAAGAAGGTTGTATTGGTGCATATTGAAAAAATTATAGCATTAACATGCAGATTATACATGAAAAGACTTATAATGCAGGGACACCACTAAGTGGTGGAAGGTAGACGAGAAAGAATTTCTAACTTTAAGTTGAATCTGTCTGTCCATTAAATAAACAAAAAACCATCTAACCAAGCTGAGTCTAAATTTTGAACCATTTAATTCATATTTCAGAAGTTCATGTCAAACAGAGTCAAAGACTTTTTTGACATCAAGAAAGACAGCCACTGTGGCATTGCGTCGAATAGAAAAATTGTAAGTAGCTTCGATGAATCTGAATAGATGGTCCATTGTTTATTTGTTTTTCCTAGAGCTGTTTTGAAAGTTACTTAGGATATTATTCGTTTCTAACGAACAATGTAATCAGTTGAATACTTATCTTTTCTAACAATCTCCCTAAGTTAACAGTTAAGTTAATTAGTCTATAACGTGAGGGCCCAGTGGGAGATTTGCCTGCTTTTTTTAACATGAGAACTGTGGCTTTCTTACAGGAAGGTGGGACATACCCCGCAAAGATAGAAGAAGTCAAGAAGGAAGCAAGGTGGTGTAAGAAAAGGGCAGTGGCATGCTTTAAGGATTTATTCTGAATTTGGTTTTCAATGGGGGAACTTATCTCTGGTTTTACATCTCTGGTTTTACGTTTAATTTCTGCAGTAGTCACTGGTTGAGCCAGTTGACTTCCTCAATAAGTAGTTTTTAATGTTCACTGGGAGGCCTGGTTTAAAAAGTGTATTGTTTTGTGACAACGTTTTTTACTGTCTTTTGCTAGTCAGCATGCATGAAAATCATTTTTTTACAGCTAATGTTTGTGGTCATTAAAAATGTAAAGTGTACCAATAATTAAAGTAATAATATCGACTGTGATAATTTCATACTGTGGGTTTTCAGCATTTTCTTGTTTGTGTTGTTTTGTATGATGATTGTGTTTTTTATTACCAGACATTGTACTAACATATGATTTTGCTTATACGTGTGAGCAGTAAGATCTGCTTAGCTATTCCTCAAAACTTACTTGAGCTTACTGTGCACTGTAAGTTGTTTTAGTGCTTTGCTGTATATCTTTAGTTGTATATTGTGATCTATCTGAGGTACCAATATCTAGAATTTTTCAAGCTGTTTGATTTAGTGTAGAATTTGTGTTGTGTTTTTGGAAGGTGTTTTATTTTTTTTTGCACAAAGGTTATCTGCACTAGCCATCCATAATTTTGAAGTGATAGACCAGAAGGAAGGCAGTTAGTCAATACCACCCACCACCAACTCTTGGACTACTCTTTACCAACAAATAAAAGGACTGACCATCATACTAAAATGCCCCCATGGTTTAAAGGGTAAGCATTTTCAGTGACGGGATTGAAACTCACAACTCGCAGATTGTGAGTCAAGTGCCCTAACCACAATGCACTGGAATATTTATATATAGTTGAAACACACTATAATAGAGAAGAAAGCTAATGTCTCATTTCACTCACATAGATGACTTATTATGAGTATCTCTAAAGAAGAAACCAGTAGTGGTTGTTGCTGCAGCTATGCATCACCTTTACTGGTACTGTCAGAAATGGTCCCAGAAATGAAATCTAGTACTCAGAATAATCCTCTCAGTGCTAGGAAGAAAAAAGCTTGCAATATATTATTAGAACTACCCAAAGGTAAGAAAACATATATTTGGGACTTGTGGTTACTACTTAAAATTCTCCCAAAGAAAT